GACGAGCCATAAGGGACCAGCCTCTGCAAAACGAGAGCGAAGCCACATCCGGAGTAGCGCGCAACAGCAACAACCAGGCTAAAATAGTAGTACAGTACCTGAGTACATACTAGAGGCGGTCCTGCGCGGATCTCACACAGGTCCTTCCTCGTAAAGGCCTAGCAGCCGCGAGATCCCCAAAAGATACGAGTGGGCAAATCATCTGGCCGGCGGCTCGCAGATGACCAAGAAAAGAAATCGACCAAATTAACCCTTGATTATGGAGAAATAGTACTTGTACTTACTAGCAACGGGGGGAGGGGGGGGGGGGGGATGGGAAACCCATGTGTCAAGAAGAATCAAGAGAGAGCGGCGTGGGGCGGCGAGCCAGGCTGACGACCAGGGGGGGGAAGGGGCCAAAGAGACAATTCTGGGCAAAAGACGAGAAAAGAATTGAAGCAGCAGGGAAGATCCATGACGGCCCGGCGTCGAGCCGGGTGGAGGCATCAAAAAGGCTTGTTTAGCTTGAAGGATGAAGGAGATCTACTAGTAGTATTTAGTGACGGCGTCAAAGTTGGTGGATGGAACCTTTTTCTTCTCTTTTAATGATGGAACTGCGACACATCTCAGATTTGCGAGATTCTTGGGGCGAGCGACAGCCGGTTTCTATAGCACTAAAAGCCAGACAATAAAGAAAGGACAATAATGTGTTACAGCCATCTGCTAAATTAGCTTGACGCATCTTTGGCTGCAGCTTTCGACGAGATGGGGAAGCTCGTGGCGCGTCACAGAAAGAGGGGGGGGGGGCCACGGGAGAAACAATTTTTGCATGTTTCTGCTGTCCTCAGGCCTGCAGCGCTAGACCTGAGACGCAGGCGGACGGGATGATGATGATGGTGCTGGGATTGAGGTGCAGCAGCAGCCGGGGGGGCGGTTTAGTTCACCCTTGTTACCTTGCACGCACGAGGCGCTTGGGGGGACGGGACAAGAAGACGCAGGCGCGGAAGAAGAAGAAGAGGACAAAGAAGAAGAAAAGCGTGGCAGGGCTGGGGATGCGATGCGGATGCTCTCGTTCTTGTGCGGTTTGATACATATGATGTACCTACTACTGTGGTACCTAGCATCACAGCGTCAGGCTGCTGTCGCCGTCCGACTTGTTGCTTTCAATGTGTTCTCTGCTCGGATGATTGCTAGGTGGTCAAACTGGGGCGCGGTTCCATCGACACACCACCCGGACATGAGCAAGGCGGCAGCGAGTCCCCAGGGCTGCGATTCTGCTTCCCCCGGGGCGTCGCTGTTTGGTTACCGGCAAATCCAATACTAAATTGATGGGACGGACAGGACTGCAGGCCCAGGTCCAGAGGGAATCAAGCCGGACCCCTCCCCTTTGCATCCTGGACCACCCCCAGAGCCTGGGCAGCTCCAAGCAGTGCACGCTTCCGTAACGTCTGCCAGTGCCCGAGCAATGAGAACATACGGGTACCTGTCCAGAGGCCCAGCACACCCACAGACAGGCAGCACACACAATCACAGCACACAATAACCCGGTACCAGAGCGCGCGACCAGGGAAAAAGGGCAAGCAAAAAAATTGATAAAAAAAAAAAAAGACAAACTCGAAGGCGACCAAAGAAAGGAGCACAGGGCGATTGCGAGTCTGCTGCTTCTTCTTCTTCTTGGGCCGCCTTTGTCCGCTCGTGGTATCACCGATTTCAACCGATTTGCCTTTTGGTTGTGCCGTGCCGCGCAGTGCATCCCCAAAAAAGGAACCCAAGAGGAAGAGCACGTCAAAGACAAAGTACCTAAATAAATGCAGCGGGTGGGCAAGTGACTTGACTTGACTTGATTGGACTGATTGCGCCCCGAGCCTTGGCGACGCTAGGAACCCCACCCGAGCAATATGGGAGGACAAGGGCGGAATGAAATGGATTTTTTGATTGAGGAAGCAAAAAAAGCTCGGGCTCGTGTGGCGCACACCCCGGCTCCGTGGCCCAGGTTCTCGTCGCCAAGGGACGCGAGGTACCAGGTGCGGTGCGGTGCGGTGCCAGGACGGGGCTGGGGTGGTGCGCGTATAGTATCTCTTGTACGGTTCCTCTCGTACTTGTGCTCTCGGTGGGCCGTGCGAAGTATGACAAGTTCTAACTGGGTACTTCAGACGGCAGCCGAGACCAACCTACCTAGGGGAAGACCAGGCTGGCTGGCTGGCTTGCTTCAATACTGCATGTAGGTAATATGTAATAGCGGCTTGCTGGGCCTTCGGACCCGAGGGAGACGTGCAAAGTTGGACTCAGCTGAGCCCAGGCAGGATCCCAGCAGAGCAGCCGGTCATGCGCCACTGCGCAATTGATGAAAACCAGCAGAAAGCCATTGACCCAGAAGGGCCGTCGTTTGAAATGAAGCCGGATGAAGCCGCCATCTAGGTACCTGGACCATCACTGAGGACGGATCACAGTGCAGCATAATCAATGTGCTGCTACAGAGAAGGGCTACCTAACGACCTGCCCACCTTCAAGGGCACCGTTCTCGAGATTCGTACCCGCGCCGACCTTGCAGACTGTGTGTGCCAGAAAGTGGACGCGCCGGAAGATGAACGGGGAGGGCTGCGAGGGGCTGCGATCCCATTCGCTGGCCCTCGTGCGCCCGAGTGCGACGTTGGCCTTGTGTGTACTGTATTTGGGCACTCTGCGCCTCATGTCAGAACGATAACGGCACGACGACGGCCATGATTGACAGCTATTATTACTGGCAAGAGAATGGCTGCTGCTGACAACTGCGAAGTAGTACCTACTTGTGCCTACCTTACTCTTAAGGCAAGGGAACTTGCGCTACCGCACAAAGACTGCAGAAGTCGACGTGTACCTGCGCTTCTGTGCTTGTGGCCGCCCTCGGTCCCCCCCTCCCCTCCCCCTCAGCCCAGTGTGACCGGCCGGTGTCTTTCTCCTCCCTTTTCTCGGCTCGCCAGCAATTGAGCGCTTCCCAGCCAGGCTCATTTGCTCCGGCCTGCACTCTGGAAACCTGCAACCACATGGCTCATGAGATCATCCAAACCAGCCATGGCCCGAGTCAGGTCCTGTCAGTTGTGACAGAACGACCCTGCGCAGCTTGTAAGACGGAGCCACTACGTATCACCTCTTGTATGCATGTACCTACCTACTGTACTGTAGCTTCTCGCACAGGACCAGCAAACACCCGACCCGACACGTCAAAACGTCGGTTGGCGAAAGGCGTAGGCGAACCGCCCGCCTGGGTTCTGGCATTCCAGTCTCCAGTCCAGTCGGTTCTGTGCCCAGCGCCTCGGTTCTCTGAACCTTGACCCGACCATTAGGTTCTCGGTACCGGGGGCGAAAGAAGTACAATTCACCACACGACAAGCTTCCAATGGCCTTCAATAAACGAGGACTCAAAAAATAGAAGAAAATAATGTACCTGGAGAAAAAAAAAAAAAGAAAGAAAGGGGGGAACCAGAGGGATTTGCGGCTAACACAAAGCCAACGCGCACGAGCACAACCACAACCACAACCACAAGCTACTGTATCCGTACATGCACCAGCGCTGTCAAAGGGGGGAGCCCAGCTGCTGGGAACCTGCCGAGCCAAAGGCAAACAAAGCTGCGCCCGACCGTCTGGAACCCGCTGGAGAGGGACATGGAGCAAAATGGCCGGAGAGAGAGAGAGAGCAGGAAAAGGGAGTCTGGAAGCCAACCGCCACGACGCCTGGAAGGGGGGAAAGACTTGTGTCGCGTCCAATTGATTCACTTGCCTGGTGCCACGACGCACGACAAGTACGTGGACAGTGCAGTTCGATAGTCGCTCAGGGCTGCAGCCTCTCGTCATGACTGCAGTTTTCCTTGTTCTTGGCTGTTTCTTTTCCTGTCGCTGCCCCCAAGTTCCACGTTCATTTGCTTCCATGTGCTGGTACCGGCTTTGTAGCGATCGTAAGGAACAATCTCACTCGGAGGGAGAGCATACCGAGGTACATACACCGTTCCGGTGGCTTCTGAGGCCCTGTGGCAGGCAGGTGTCGTCGCTACAAATCCGTACAGGGGTACATACCCATCCCACTGTCCTCACTGAGCCGGAACTGTCAGCGTGCAAAAACGCACTGTAACTGGGTCAAGCGCGCTGGAAAGATGACCTCGGGGCCAACAGCACGACCCGCGAGCTCGAGCCTTGTCCCAGCAGTACCAGCCCCCCGCGTACCTGCTGGCACCAGCACCGCCGTGCGACGCCATGAACCAGCAGCAGAAAGCACCCATGGCTGCTGTACAACCGCGACAGCTCCCCAGTCTTGACTGGACTTTTGTACCTAAGTACGTACCGCAGCACTTTCCAGTCCATGGCTGGCACCGCCCTTGACAAGTTGGGAGCTGGGGGAAGATCCTCCTCCTCCTCCTCCTCCTCCTCCTCTTCCCGAACAAACCCAACCGCCATTCTGATCCTAGCCGCTTCTCCTCTTCCGCCATTCGCACGCACCCCCTCGCCAATCACCCCCTCCCCCCTCCCATGCTCGCTCAAACGACGATAGAAAAGGCGCCGTGAGAAAAAAGAGGAGCCCTGGCTGCAATCAGTCCACACCCCCCTTCGCGCTTCGGCCACGGCTTACCTTGCCTTATTCGACGGGCGATGTCCTGGGACATGCCAGGCTCCCTCAGCTGCGACCCGCTCCCCTTGGAACCAAATTCCCGGGGCTCTTCCTCACACACACACCAGGCAAGCAGAAAAAAGAGGGCCGCGGAGTGGCTCCAGCAAGGTGCCAGGCCAGCCGGACGCCAGCCCAGACAAGCCCAGCAGCCAGGGCCGGGGTCGGGCCAGGCCAGGCCAGGACCAGAAGCTGGTCGGGGCTAGGCAAGGCAAGGCAAGGCAAGGCAAGCCGCCCGGGTCTGGGTCTGGGTCCCCTCTTACTATCTCCACGGTCGCACATCCACCCAGCCCAGATCTTCCCTTTCGTTCCCTCCCGCTGGTCTGGTTCTACCTCTGGTTCCTCTCCTTTGCAACCCGCTTCTCCTCGACACAAGACAGCGACACGAGCGACACCACGCTCAAGCGAAACGACTCAAAACCCGGGCTTTGACAGTCGAGTTGGACGAAACGGCCTTTGTCACTCGTGATATACATGACCGCTCCGTTGTCGACTTTCCGCGTCCACCATCTGCCTCTGCTCGCCGTCTGGCCTGGCTTCAGCACCGGGCTCTGTTCGCCTTGACGGCTTTCCCTGCCGCAGAGTGTCTCGAATCTTGGACGCTTTTCAGTTGAGACGTGAGTAGGCTATCCTCTTCTCAGATTGAGCCGGCGATGTCTGTTTGGCTTCTCGCTGCTCTGTCACTGCCGTCTCCCCCCCTTCTGCCAATATGCATTACATCCAGATGGAACCATAGCGTTGACTGGAGTCCAAGCAGTCTCAACCCTCGATACCCTTCACACAACCTTATCGAACGCCTTGAAACAAACGCGGCATCATGGCGACGCCTTCCTCCGTGGCCTCGTCCAGCTCGCGGGACCAGGTCCAGCGCATCCATCGCGTGACGAGAGAGAACCGTCACCTTTGGTACCAGTTGACGGTTCTACAGCAGCCGGAGCGAGCCCGTGCATGCGGTTCAGGCATGAAAGGTGTGTTGGCCACTCGACGGAACCAAGTGAACAGGCGATGGCGCGTTGCAGGCCCCCCCCTTTGCTGACCCTCTCACAGCGAACAGTGACCGACGACCAGTTGATCCGCCGCCTGTTGTCGAGCTCCGTATCATCGAAGGTCCTTCTGTCGAGGAGGGCAAGGACATTACTTTCGACTACAATGCCAACTTCTTTCTTTATGCCAGTCTGGAGCAGGCTCGCACGATTGCTCACGGCCGCGTCCAAAACGGCGCCACCAACAATCCTCCCATCCTGACTGGTGTTCCTGCATCGGGCATGGCATACCTCGACCGGCCAACCGAGGCTGGATATTTCATCTTCCCCGACCTGTCCGTCCGACACGAAGGCTACTTCCGCCTGTCCTTTAGCTTGTACGAGACGACCAAGGAGCCCAAGGACTTTGACCTAGAGCCGGCCGATTCCGACCTTCCCCCTGGGGTGGACTGGAGGATGGAGATCAAGACGCAGCCTTTCAACGTCTTCAGCGCCAAGAAGTTCCCTGGACTCATGGAGAGTACCTCGCTCAGCAAGACCGTTGCCGACCAGGGCTGCCGAGTTCGAATCCGCCGCGACGTTCGCATGAGGAAGCGCGACGGCAAGGGCAGCGGCTTTGACCGACGCGGTGAGGAGGAGTACTCTCGCCGCCGAACCGTGACGCCAGCTCCCGCCGAGGATCCCAACCTGCGAGCCAGATCCGTCAGCAACGCGAGCGAGCACCGCGGGCCGTACATGCCGCAGGAGCCGCCACGGCGACCATCCGCTGCCGAGAGCTACCATGCCCCTCCCCCACTGCCTCCTCCGCCGCCTTCGTCGTACGACGCTCCTCCGCCTGCCGCTCGTCCCGGACATCTGGGCTTTGGCGGCGATCACAACATGCCGCCGCAATATGGCGCACCCGCCGCTCGGCCATACGGCCACCCGCAGAGCGCACCGATACCTCCTGCGACACCCACCGGACCCTACCCGACATCGTCCGCGGCGCCGTCTCCGTATGCCAAGCAGGATCATCATCATCAGCAGCAGTACAGCTACAACTCCCGCCCTCCGGCGCCCAGTGCTTCCCCAGCGCCGCCGATGAAGCACGCCATGTACGACAACCGGCCATCCGAGCCTTATGTGCCTCACTCCTCGCCTTCCGTATATGCGTCGACCGAGAGGCGACCTTCTTATGCCAACTACTCTGCTCCTGCGCCCTATTCTACTCCCGCCTCCCAGCCGACCTACTCTACTCCCGCCTCCCAGCCGACCTACTCTACTCCCGCCTCTCAGCCGACCTACTCGGCTCCCCCGCCAGCGCCATACTCGGCTCCGGCGCCTCCTCCTCCTAGGCCGTCGATGTCTCAGTCGTCTCTGGCGCCGCTCAAGATTGCGTCCCTGGTGTCTCCCCTGCCGCCCATTGAGGCTCAGACCGAGCCTCTTCCTCCGCCTCCTATGCTGTCGACCGGTGGCAAGAGAAAACATGACCACGTCTTCTCCCAGAACCACAAGCCGCTGTACAACGGCCAGCGCCAGCTTGACGCGCACTATGGCCACGGATATCGCGGGCTCACCCCCGAGCCCGACCAGGGCCTATACTCTCGTGCGGACGGTCAAATCGGCGTTGTCACCTTCAACCAATACCAGGTGTAAGGCCATTGGACGAGTGTTTGTTTGACTCGGACCCTTGGGTGACACGGATTCACTGGAGTATATTATCTGCATTTTTTGATGTGTGATAGATTTCTCATGGGCGTTTTGGGACCAGTACCCTTGTTCAAAATACCTCTTTTGTTTTCTGTTGGAAGAGGGAAATACGAAGGGAACTTTTGCGGGTATTAACGGAGTTTGGGAACACATGACAATAGTTTGAGGGAAATTTCTTTCATTCATCTTTCTCTTTTCCTTATCCTTTCTTTGTCTGTTAAAGTGAGATGGTTCAACGGAACACAGCGACTTCATTCCAACTCTCCCCTTTGCATCTCATTCTTCTGTTGTCTTGCCATTTTTCGATATCTTTTATCCGTGGGCACCCTTTATGCGTGGAATGCTAATGAGAGGGACCTGGGATATGGGGAGTTTTCTTTCTCTTGCCTTTTTTTTTTCTTCCTGAAAGCTTTGGGGTACTATTCTACCTACCTTTTATGTGTCAAAAGCCGGGCGGCTACACTCATTCTCTGAAGTCATTTGATTTTGAACATCTACCTCTACGGTTCCGTCGACGTTGCTTATTCTGATATATTACTTGAAGGATATAATTCATGGAAGCTACTGGAGTTCTTACAAATTGTGATCTGAACAAGAGCTATCGTGGAGTCATTCCTGACGGCGTTGAAGTATCCGTGAAGTGCCATGTGGTAACGTGAAAAGAATGTGACGTCTCAATTGGACGAAGGGTCAATGGATGGAGATGTTGTATCGGGAGATGATGAAAGTGGCCGTACAGAGGATGGCCTCTTGAGGTAATCTTGAGGAGTTGAACGGTGTTCTACAGGAGCGGCGACACGCCTTACAAAAGGAACCAGCTCGCTCGGCTGAGCTTGATCAATGCTCGGGTTAACAGGACGTTTATGGGAAGCGGCCGAGCTGCATGTTGTAAATGCGTACATGCCTTTTTCTTTTGCGCAGAGAGCCAACGTCGCTATCATCACTTACGACTGACCTGCGTGAAGAGGAAGAAGGGAATGAATGCCCTTAAGCAGGTCCTGACCTGACCTGGCCCAGCCTGGCCTGGTTTCTCTTCGCAATGGAGAGGTTTTTTTGTCGGGTGAGAATGATATTCTACGTGGGTAACTTGGTTGGTACAAGACTTTGTTTTTCTTTTCTTTTTTGCCTTTGCACTTTGGGTTTGTCTACATGTAAGGGTCATCCATGAGTCTCGATAGGTAGGTAAGGTTTGGTTTTAAGATGGAACCTGCTGGGTGAAGAGGTGTTGTTATGCTTGCCTGGCAGGTGCTTACTTTGGCAGCTTGATGGTTGTTTTGAACAAGGTTGTCCGTTTAGACTCTGCAAGTGGTCACGGCAGGGCGTTCTCCTTCTTCCTTTCTTCCTTTCTTATTTCTCCTTCTTTTCTTGTCCTTCCATTTGGTTTTTATAGTCGCTTTAAGCATTCCAGGTTTTTTGCCCTGAAATAAATGGCATCAGAGCTTATAGAGCTGTCTGAAGGAGTAGAACCCTCCCCCTGGCTGCTCGATACTGAGGTGCTCGTGACCCCGTTCTCTTTGGATCGCTATTACTTGAAGAGGAGAGAAAAAAAAGAAGAAGTTCATAGAGGAGAAGAGAAAACTGAGCAATCAAGAGCAACGATTTCTCTCGTGAGGTACGAGTAATGTTCGACCGTTGGAAAGAAAGAGAAAAAAAGCAAGAGGCTGGTGAAAAGATTCCCGATGCCGCGGCTGGGTCTGTTAGGACCCGTTGTGTGTGCGCTCGTGGTTGTCAAAATAACGGGTTGTCGGTCAACTCCGAGTCAGTGCGACTGGGTTCAGGTAAGGGACGTAAACTACTGTACGCGCTTTAATTGCCTGCTGCGATCCGCGCGGACAGGTGCATATATGGATGGGATACTATGGGGTCTGGAGTCCGGAGGAGGTGCATGATGGACGGGGGGGGGGGCGATGGTTTTGATGCAGATGTAGATGTCAGATGGTATTACAGGAGGATTAACGTCTACTAGTTGTTGGACATACTATCGTGAGATTAATTAGGTGAGGATGAGATGAGATGAGATGGGGATGGAGAGATGTGAGGGACATTTTGGCCGTGACATTTGCTCGAGTTTGGGGTTGAGTCCTGTTTCAGGGGAGCACAGCCGCTTCAGGTGAGGTCGGGGGGAATGGCGGTGGCCTTGGGATCCGTTGGAGACGGTTTTTCTCGTTGCTTTTTTCTCTTTTTTTTTCCAAGCCTCTCCATTTTCTCTCCTCTCTTTCTCTCTCTCTCTCTCTCACCCTCCCTCTCTCTCGAACTTACCAAGACAATAATCTCAAGTTGGTGCTTCATTCTTACGAGCGATTTTTGTTTCATTGCACAGGCTGGCTAGCCAATTGAATCGCACCGAGACTCTCATAGGAGACACCAAAGCACGAGGCAAGATGCCAAGCATAGAAGAGAGCTCTATATCCCTCTTTTGCTGCTCTTGCCTGCTGCAGTCTGCGAGTCCTAGCGCTCTTGTCTTTCTCGTCGGTTCAGGATTTACACAAGAATGGAGAGCCGGTGGTACGCTCTGCTGGTGAATGAGAAAAAGGAAGCATTTGTCCGGAAAAAGACAGATACATAGCAGTATCAACACCCTCGCTTTTCGGGGGGGGCTGGTGAGGGAGCTGTTCGGACTGATTGTGGTAGTATTACTAGGCCCGGACCAGGAGCCCATGTTGCAATCTCGACGGCGCAGAGCGCTTAAGCTGTGCCGCTGGTCCTGTGATGAGTCGTGGCGCTGGTGGTGTCGTTGTTGCTGTCGATGCTGCTGCTGTTCGTGTCGGTTGCTGTGTCGTGACTGTTGTTGTTGTTGTTGTTTCGCTCTGTTTGATGGTCGTGTCCGGAACTGGATTCCTTTATAAACGAGCGCTTCTCCCGCCATTCATCGTCCTGGATGCAAGCTGCACGACTGTGACAGCTCAGCACCTCTCATCTGCTCCTTCAATCCTCTCTCGCCATGTCATGTCATACGAGTACACGCCGTCCCGCCACCAGTATATCCGAGTACGAGACCGACAAGCAGCACCGCAAAGGGGAGGCTACGAACTTGGCCAATCCGTGCCACAGCTCCCCCCCCCCCCAAACCCCTGCCGCCATCCGACCACTTCTCCCCCATCATCCCTGTCGCGATACCCTTGGCCGGCCGGGATCATCGGCGCCGCTGTGAAGCTCTTAAGCAGGGACTTTGCGAACCCGCAGGCCGTTGCCATGGGCGACGCTCACGTGTGGCCGGGGGAGGCGGCAAACGTGCAGGGGTGCAGGTGGTCGAATGGGGGGGGGGGAGCCACCCAAGCCTCCCTCAATGCCGCCCATAAGAACAAAACGAGCTGCGCCTGTTCTGTGTTCTGGCTCTCGGTTGGACCCCCCCCCCTCTCCCCTTTAGGCGTGACATCTGACCTGCGGTTGTGCTGCGAGCCTGCAGGCAGCTAAGAGGTTATTCGGGGCCGGTTGCGCGAGCCCACGAAGAAGAAGAAGAAGAAGTTGTTGTTGCTGCTGCTGCTGATGCCTCTTGGTGGTGCTTCTTTTTGCTGCAGGAAGAGAGAGAAAGCAAGACACGCGGGCGAGACAGACGGAAGAAAAAGCGGCCAGGCAAGACAACAAGGTACAGCATTGCTGACACCAGATCGGACGTAAGTTGCACCCCGACAGCACAAAAGAGAAACAATAAGCCCAATCAGATGCTCTCTCGTCTCTCCCTTTCCCGCTGTTTCTCCTCCTTGTTTTTCTTCCAATCAAAAGAGCAATGTCATCTCAGCGAGACTGTCGAATCGGAAATCGTTGGCTAAAATCTCTCTTCTGCTTCGACCGGCTCCAGCCTACGATCCCTCAATTAAACTCCTAAAGAAGATCGCGGAGAACGACAACGCGGACGAGATTCCATTCCAATTCTTGCCCTTGGACCAAGATCGACGTCAGCACAGAGAACCAACAGCTGCGAGTACATAACAAGCAGAGCCGGCAATCAGGCAATCACGCAGCAGAAACATTCCGGTCGCAAGGGCGCTTGGAGCTTGGGAGCCGTTTGGGCCGTGGTCCGTGTTTTAGGAGTGTTTTGTTTACGGGCCGTTTGTTTTGCGACACGGCAAAAGACAGGAGAGAGAGAGAGAGGCGAAGCAAAAAGGCGCTGGTGGCACGAAGCACAGCGGCGGGCGGAGTCGACGACAACTCAGCTCGAGAGACAAAGGCGATTCTTCTTTCCTTTGACCCGATGGGAATGGACGCGTCTTGACACCGACACCCATCGCTTTCATCGTCTTTCATCCCATCCCCAACGCATCGGCAGAGCCATCGTCAGCGGGCATCACGCCGTGGGCCAATCAGGCCGTCATCGAGCCCTTCAGCCAACGAAGCTGACGATTCTGCCCCCTTTTCTGCACCCCCTCTTCCTCTTCTTCATCGACTCCCTGCGAACGCACGCCTGCTCGCCATGGGCCCTCCTAAGAAAAAGGGCCTCAGGCCCAAGCAGAGCCGCAGCCGCTTCCACGAGGGCTCCATGAACGACCGCGTCTCGGCCGTGCCGCCGCCCCATTTCCTCGGGCCCGACGAGATCGAGGCGCTCGAGCGGCCGCTGGACGCCGAGCTCGAGCAGCACCAGTACAACCTGCGGAGCTCCCGCCGATCCCAGGACACCCAGCGCCATCTCCAGCTGTACATGTCCCGGCAGGCCCCCAGCATCGCACCCAGCATTGCCCCAAGCGTCGCGCCGAGTGTCGCGCCCAGCGTGGCCCCGAGCACTGCCACGTCACCCAAGAAGGGCGTCTTTGGCCAGGTGTGGGAGGGCGTTCGAGGGCGCTTCAAGCTGAAGAAGGATGCCCCATCAGCATCGCCGGAGCAGAAGAAGCACGAGACTCCTTCGACGCCTTCACCAAAGAAGCCTGCGCCGGGTGCCTTCGACGACAGGCCCACTAGGGAAGAGGCCTTGGCGAGCTACCATCTGCTGGTCGAGTCGGGCTTCTTCACCTCTCACGCCATCCAGTCCACGCGGCAGCCTCCTCCGCCGGGCTACACGCGGCAACGGCCAGCTACCAGCCACCAGGCGCTCCCTACATCTGCGTCAACGACGACACCGTCACCCCAGCCGGCGCCTACCCACGCCCCCCCTTCTCTGCCTCCGCCGCCAAAGTGGCCTCTCAACACGACGCCCAAGACGCCCAGGAGCACCAGGAGCAACAGGACGTCTCTATCCATCATGACGCCTGCCAGCGGCGACTCGAGAGGCACCAAGCGGACCGCAAACGAGAACCAGCCGTCGTCCCCCGAGATCCAGATCCACCAGGACGAAAGGCCCAAACCAATCCGGACCAGGGAATCTCGCACCAAGATCCGTAGAACGGCTTCTCGCGACTTTAACATTCCCATCCTTCGCACTACTGGATCCCGGCGGAAGCTCTCGACCGGCCGCACAAAGGCTCGGAAGAACCCGAGCAGCACCAGCCTGCCGCCCGTGGTCATCCACCACTATCACAGCCACAGCACGTCGAGCCGCGACTCCAAGCATAGCAGACGGTCCTCCCACCTGCTGTGCGCTACCTCGCCCTCTTCATCTGCGGCCTCGTCCCCTCGCGCGTCCCTCGACTCTACGGCGTCCTGCCGAGACAGCGGCGAGAGCGTCTACAGCGTTCGTGCCATCGGCTCGGGCTCCAAGAGCTCCCGGCTGCTACGATCCAGAAAGACTGCTCCCGCTGCTACTTCTGCCGCTGCCGCGGAGGCCCTCAAGGTGGTTCCCAACGCCAACCGGGGAATCCCCAGCGTCCCCTCTATTCCCGCCAAGTATACTTTCGGAGAAGATCGAGAGAATGGCCAGCCCTGGCGGGGGCTGAGACGGTGATGGAGTTTGTCGACTTGTTTTCCGCATAATGACTGTTTTATATGGCGCATTTCGGCGATTTCGGATCCATCATTTTTTTCTCCATCAAAAAGCATTCTCGGGTCGAGCCTGATTCGGATTTTTTAACGAATTTTCTTTTTCTCTTATGACGAGATATGAAATGATTTTGTCGCAACCCCCCTTTATTTTCTCATATACCCCATCCGTTCGGAGGGCCATCATCACAGATTACACAGAAAACCACACACGATGAAAAGAACACAAAAAAAAAAAAAAACAATTGGAAGATTACGCACCCGCAAAAACAAAACACCAAAAAAAAAAGGCACACCTCAATCACCAACCCGATGTAATGATTTCTCCCCCCTTGGGGTTTCTTGCTTCCCAGTAGCAAGGCTTCCCCGTTTTCCCAATTACCCTTCGTTGTTAACATGGGACATTGCGTTTTCTTGGTCTTATGCAAAGCAAACGTTTTTGTTGCTTGTTACGTTATGTGTCATGACAAAAGGAACAATATATGAAACCCCCACAAGCTCTCTCACGTATATACGACTTTGACGACATGTTTTCTGTGCAAGGATGAAGGGACAAGCGAGCGAGGTGGATCAGAAGCGGAAATACCGACAAACTACAGAAAACAAAAAGGAAAGAAAGAAAGACGAAGGAAGAAAGGGAAACAAAAGGAACGCCGAAAGGAAGGACAGGGGAGAGGGGGGAAAAGGAGATGGGGAGAAGAAAGGGAAGAGCTTCTTTTTCTTCTTCTTCATATGAGTCGAGTCTTGTGCCCGGATTGGTTATGATGACGATCTACAAACCGCAAGGGCCATATCGGATCGGACCTCCTTTATTTCCTTTTCAACCTGGTCCCCTCTTTTTGTTCTCGTTTACCATTTTTTTTCTCGTCTTCAGGGGAGGGTGAGATTCCACCCCCGGCCTTTTTGTTGTTTGTTCATGGCTAATGTCATGGATGTCGATGTTCTCGCGGAAAGAGGAAGCTGGCTTGGCTCGTCTTTTCTTTTTTGACATTTTGCTTTTTGGAATCTTTTTTCAGTGTCTTTTGCCAGCAGGAGAGAGAGAGAGGGTCTTGTATTGTTTTTTTTTTTTCCCCTTTTATTCTTTTTTCTTTTTCCCTACCTTTTCTACATTCGCTCACATGCTCGGTTTCCCCGTCTTCTTCTTCTTAGTCCTTTTCATCTCCCTTGTCTCTTTCGAACTGTTACTTCAGACGGACCATGTATCATGGCGTAAAGACCATGAACGTCCTAGAAATAGAGTTCAAGAGGGGAGAGTAGGGGAGATGAGGAGGCGGGATCGAGGAGGGGGGGAACCTTGATGATGATGATATCATGAAGTTTGAGGGGAGGAGGGAGGGAGGCGAGTTGACGGATGAGGAGTGTATTAATAGGTAGTTTATATAGTTCATTTCTTTTCACGAATGACAAGACATTACATCAATATCTCCATCTTGTGCTTGTGGCATGGCTGACGAGTGACTAATACACTGTATCTTTTCTCTCCTGTTACTCTTTAATTGAGTATCGTGGACAGCAAGTCATTCGGTTGGCATTCGTCATCAGCCAAAAAAAGAAAGAAAAAGAAAGAAAAGAAAAGTTGAGAACATCGAATCCTATTAGTACTAGTTTTCTACCTTGTTGCGTCTGTAAAGCTTCCCTATCCAAGAACTACCCTTCTAAACTAAACAAAGAAAAAAAAAAAGGAAAAAGAAACAACACCCATTAAGAAATAAAGAAAAAAAAAAAAAAAAAAACCACACAGCCAAATCTCTTGTTGGTCTGGTGTGAGAGAGGGCCCCCCGACAAAACACCAAACTATACTACCTAGTAGGTTCAAATAAAAAGGAAGGAATCAAGAGGTATAAGTTCGTTTGTCGAAAGAGGGGAGAAACAAAAAAAAAAGAAAAAAAGGAGGAAACTGCGCACCAAGGGAGAAAGAAGCAACAAGGAAGAAAAAGAACACCATCAAGAAGAAGTAGAAAGAAGAAGAAGAAGAGAAAGAGAAAAAGAATCAAGATACTGTACCGCTGATACCAAGTACTGCTGCTGTACCGGAAGACCACCAAAAACTCCCTTCAAGAGAAAAAAAATGATCGTAGAACATACCCATTATCCTGCTTCCGAACAAACATTGCAGCCCAGATTCCACCAGCCTTTCCATCCCAGCCATTCGCATTGGAGAGAAAAAAAAAAAAAAACAAGAACACAGCCCCTCTTCCCACTCCGAACCCCCAACAGACCAGCAAGTCGTCCCTTGGTGACGGTGGTCGTTTAATTTTCTTTTTGTGGTTGAATACAGGTCATTGTAAAAGAAGACAACATCGGGTATAGAGGCGCAGAAAGCCAGCGTAATAAGGGTACAAGCGTCGTCTACTTCGTCCCGAACATTTCATTGCCGGATCGACGTCGTTTATTCGAGCATGCGGAGCAAGACGTGGATCAGAGCTCGAATAGAGGCAAAGATGAATGGGAAGAGTGACGGGCAATAGCTGTAGAGCAGCGCGCAAACCATCACCAAGAGAAGAGGGATCTGACAAGGGTTAGCTACTGTAATTGAATCACAAAAGGGGCCAAAAACACCGCGACTCACCCAGATGAAGAAGAGGTTTCGGTCGTTACTAAGCTTCTTCAGCTTCTGTTCCCGAGCCCGCAAAAAGTTCTCTTGCTGCTCCTTGGTGATGGCATGCTTGCGTCCAATCTCCAGGATCGCGGGCGGCTGGATGACGGCGCTGCTGCTGCTTTCGCCGGCCGAGGCCTTGGCCGCATTGGTTGTCGTCGCATGCTCTTCGTAACTGACCGTGGCCTTGGTAACGGACGGCTCCTGTTCATCAGTTCGGACGCGGCGCCTCTTCTCGTCGGCCTCTACCTCAGCAGCCGCTCGGGCCACGGACAAAACAGACTTGGCATCCAGGTCCTCTACCTGAGCCTCCTTTGCCGGATAGATTTCGTTATAAGCAGGAGGAGCCACCGCGCTGTTCATGTACGATGAGAGGTCCCACCAGCGCGAGTCCGCCTTACTGCCATCATCGCTTGAGTCCGCCTTGCTACCATCATCGCTCGAGCTGTCCGCACCCTTCCCGCTCGGCGAAGCCGACATCATCTCTTGAACCTTTCGCATGAGCGGTGCGGGTTGCGGGATGTAGGCATTGAAAATGGGCAAGCTGGCCAGATTCACGTTCAGGAATGAATAAGGAGAGCGCGCCGGGCTTTCGTTTCCGTCGCTGAACTTGTATGTATAAGTCGTCTGCTGTCTGCCCATATGGGATTGGAGCGGAGCCTGCATGCCGCGTGGCGGCTGAGCTCCTGGCAGCAGTCTCAGAGTCAGAGGCACCGGGCCGCCAACTGTGGATGGCGGAACCAGGCACACCAACGACGCCTCACTCCAGAATGTGGTCGTCGTGGCCTTATTGTCGCCGAACCATACCTCGAGTCCCTGGAAAAAGGAGGCGCCAAGCACCGTGACTTCTGTTCCGCCGCTGAGCTCGCCCTCGGGCGGAATGACTTTGTGGATGATGGGTGGTGACGACCTGGATACAGGGGGGGTAGCAGGGGCGAGACCCATTGCGAAATGGTTGGCTTGAGCCATTTGGTTATGCGGCACCATGTTGCCCATGTTGTCGCCATTGGGCAGAGAGCCTCTAGTCGGGCTCAGGGAACCACCCGACTGAGGAGATACTGGCGTGGAATAGAGCATGGCCGAGTCTTCTCTGCTCTTGGGGCGACTAAGTGGTGGTGCGAGCCAATCCGGCATGTCATGGGCAATGGTGTTGAGAGCGTTGGGGCCGGTCGGCACCTGTACATGAGGGGTCATGGCGCCCATGTGGCCCTGCGACTGTTGGAAAGAATGCATGTTGGGCGAGAAGACGGGGCTGACCGCGGGAGTGAGCTGCGCCGAACCGCCCTGGAAGGGCAGGCGTGCTGGAGGAGCCTGGTGGTTCGTGGTCAAGGCCTGCGATTCCGCTGCTGCCGATGATGGCCGGTCGCTCATCGCGTTGTGTGTGCTCGATGAGCCCGATGAGCTTGCTGAGCTCGCCTTTCTCCTCTTAGCCGGGCCCTGAGGCTCGAGTTCCGGAGCGTCGTCCACCGCTGAAGGCGAAGTGGTCTTGTGGTCATCTGTGATCATGATGGAGCCAGACATGGCCTGTGCAACGACGTTGTTCTTCCAATCCTTGAAGGTGAAGATCACCCTGAAGCCCGTCTTCTCCTTTTGATGACGGCAGTAGCACGCGAGTCGCATAGGCACCACGACTTGCATGGCCGTGGGGCATTGTCGGAAGAGTTCCGCTTGCGCCGGCTTATCGGAGCCCTTCTCCTTCTGCGCGGTCGGCGGTCGCCAATCACTCATCTCGAAGGTGTTGAAGATGATGATGCGGTGCGACTCATCCAAGTACCAAAGCTCCTCTTGATCGGACCTCTCGTGCTCCTTCTTCCTGTTGGCTCGCTTGCGCTCTCTCTCCATGCATTTCGGGCAAATGCGAACTTGACAGCCATTTTGAGTCTCGTGCTCAACTTCTTCCGGGGTGGGAAGGTATCTGTGATCGACCTCGGCAGCTCTCTGCAAGGCCCTCTGCCTCAGCTCCGGCTGCTCCATAGGGGTCGTGCATACTAAGCTGACATAGAGCTCCAGCGTATCGGGAGATGGGGTCGGAGGAGGCCTCAACCTGTGCTTGGGCTTGGAGATGGTATGAGGAGGCAGATGCAGCTTCGTGACGCCCAAGGGCAGGTGAGACATGGTTATGGTAACCATCATTTGCGTCTCAACGCGAGACTTGAGGGCAGACTGCTGAATATTCACGCCATACTCGCCGAGGTAGGTGAAGGCGGGGAAATCGAGAGTGGGCATTTGTGGTATGCCCTCGGTATGCTGAGAAGGGCTCTGCTGCAGTTGCCCAAGCTGTCCCCACTGAGGCGACTGAAACGAAGGGGTGGCTACTGGCGATGGCTCTGCCGTCTGGAGAGCTGAGGCGGGCGGTTCTGGAGCCGCCACTCGTTTTTGGCCTCTTGGGCTCGTCATGTCCGGCGGCTGGGATGAATGTTAGCTGGCGTCCTTCCTGGTCTCCCGAGTATGAAGAATGCCCAGGCTTCTCCAAGCCGCGAGATGCGCAAGACAAGACGAAAAGAAAAGTCGACGTACCGTAATGACCTGCTGAACTAACTCTTCTGGTCGAGCCACCTCCATATTTGCCTGCCTATAGTTCTGAAAGGCAAGAGTAATACCAGACGGGTCGGCTGGAGGGATTGAAAAGACGAAGGGCTGGCTGGTCGCGGCCTCGTCACTGCTGCCAAACGCAAACATATCGCCTCCATCGGGGGCCCCGAGAAAAGTCGACGACTGGCCGGCGAGCGTAAATGGGGAGACCGAGGCCTCGGCGGTCCGAAAGGCGGCCATGAGATCAAGATGGCCATTCGCGTTCAGGGAAACGGTGTCGGCTGCTGCAACGGGCGCCTTGGGAGACGCGGTGCCCGAGTCGAAGTCCTCATCGAAAAGCGAGCCGCTGGTCGAACCCTCAAAGGGCCCCGTCGGGACAATCGGCGGCGCGTCCCATATGTTCTTAAATTGCTCGGTGCCGAACCCGCTAACGTACTGTTGGAGGTCGTCGGGGTTATAGTATTCTCCCGAGGCGGCGATGAAGGACTCGGGCACTTCCTGAGCCTCGTCTCGGGGGATTGACGACGATCTCGCAATCAGCGGATCGCCCGCTCCAGACCGGAACGGAGTCGACGCCATAAAGGGCGGCGGGCGGTGATTTCTTCTCTGTGCGCGTCTGCCTTGGCTCACCAGCGGGCGGGAGAGAACAGGGTGGGAGGATGCGGGTGGTTGTCGTCGGGCGGGCTGTTGATTTCGACTCAGATTTTGTGCGTTTCTTCCCTTTTGTGTCAGCGGTGGGAAGTCGCTGATAAGCCGGTCGAGATAACGGACGTTGGGCTTGAAGTGTGGGGAGTGTCTTAGGAGACGACGACGATGTGCGTGTGTGTCTGGAGTAGTATGTATGCCGCCTGTGGTAAGTGGTGGTTTATCTGCTGTTATGTGGGAGGACGGAGTCGACGAGGAAAAAAAGGGTCCGCCTGGTCTTGGGGAGGGGGGACGGCCAGCCTGCGCGGATTGGCTGCGCGACGATGCAATGCAATCACGCAAGTGCGAGTTGTCCCAGATGGCCTGAACCTCCTATGATTGCATCTTTTCCGAGCAGCGCAGCGTCGAGCGATGGAGAACGAGATGGCCGTGGACGAGCGGCAGGGGGGGGTCGGTTTTGTCTGTCCTTGGGTGAGGGAGAGAGGGATTGGGGGTTGAAGGGGACCGAGAGGGTTTTTCAACGACGTCGAGCGAGGCCAGGCCTTGAAACAGGCGGAGAGCAACCACGCGCACACAGTTAGCGCACACGCCGTCTGGGCAGCCGCGTCTTGCTGGAGAAGTGGGCAGGTGTTTTGGGGTACCCGGGGAACAGCAGCCAATCGTGGGTGGCTGGAGGTACCGCACTATCAGCAGGCCGTTTCGCTTCAAGGCTGATCGTGGGACTACGATGGGATTAAAGCATGGGAGATGCGCGAGACGAGCATGAACTGAAGAACTCGGCGCAAAGCAAGGCGTCACGTGAGAGTGGCTGAACCTTGATAACGGCCTTCAACGGTGAAGATGGCACTGGCAACCACGACGCGGCCGGTCCAGGAACCAGTGCAGCGACAGGGCGGCAATACAGGGCCCTTTCCCACTAACCGCTCGATTGTTCCAGCGGTCGGGTGGCCGTTTCAGGTCCCCCATGTGCGCTGCAGGAATATGCACACCATCCGATCATTGCGACCCCCCGGAGCATTCGCACTGTCTGGGTACACGCACTCACCACACAACAGCACCGTTGGGCTGCCTCTCGTCTGAGTCACCTGCGGGTGCAATGAGTCGCGCCCTGCGCAATGCGGCACTGTGGCTTCGTCCACAGCTCTTCCACTCGACAAGTCGTCACGATGGGCCTCCCCCCCCCCAAGCCTTTAGACCATCGCACAATGACCACACAGCCTTTGGATGAGTTCCTTGTCGTACACCGTCCGCAACTCTCTAGTTTCCGCACCGTCCACGGCCTGGCCCAGGGACAAACCCATGCCCGTGCATATGCACCCAGTTTAAAGTCTTTCAATAGCCTGGTCGCTGACGCACACAGTGCGTCGGTGGCCGCGCAACTCGACTTGTTCCGTGGCCCCGGCCTGCCAACAAAGTGGTGCCCTTGTTCCGCAGCTTTGGGCCCTGAATTTTGCACTCGGATTTCTGCACTTTTGGGTCTGACGTCCTAATAGTTGGATGCTGCTTCTGCTTCCTTGGCTTGGTAACCGAGCTTCCAGAACGCCATGAAAACGTGTCAACTTTGATCGCGGGCTTATCATAGAGCCACCTCCATGAAGCTAGATACATGTACTACCTGCCAGGTACCTAGGTAGTAGTGCTTTTAATACCTTATGTACCTAACCTACAACCTTACTGCTCACTCACACCAAAGCGAGGCTTGTGTGCTCGTGATGAATGTCCGGTGACTGATCATTTCTTTTGTGCGTGCAGGTGCTTCAAGCGTCTTTCCTTTGCTCCCCCCAGTAAGAACTGATACTGCGAGGCGCATATAGGGCTCCAAATGCTCATGGTGCCGAGGTTCGCGCTTACACAGATGATCAACCACGCGTTCATCTGAAGAGTAATTCCTATTACTTCTTCTGCCTAAGTACTACTCAACATGTCGAGCATGGTAAGGTACCGTAGTAGTATCTCGAAAAAGAAAAAGAAAAGAAGAGCGGCTGCCGTCTTCCAGAACAAAAACCCACTTCCCCACAAGAGCTAAGCCTCACGATTAAATCATTAAACATCCATTCGCTTCCATCCGACCTGTTGAATCGCTTCGCCGTCCCAACAAATGGCCAAATGTCATCCTCCGCAGGGTCCTTTTCAATGTCTCACGGCAACGTGGCAGCATGCCATGGAATTGCATCATGGCAGATTACATGATCAAGGGTTTCAGATACATTGCCTACTCACTCACTCAGCTATACGCATCTTTACCGGACATAACCTCACTTGGCGTGGCAGTGTTTCCACGAGATGCAGGTGTCTGTACAGATGTACGCGTGGAGGTGGAGATGCGAATGAGAACAAGTATCGTACACATGTCAGTTTTGATAGCTTGTACAGCGTCCAGTATCTACCTATCTATGCCATGCCTCTGTGGCCCCAAGCACAAAAGAACTTTGTCCATGAATCTCCCCTAATCGCCCGAGTCTACAACCATCATTCTTTAAGCTGTATAACCCAAGAACAAGAAATCCCAAAGAAATGCATGTATCAAGCTCCAAGAACATCTATATGGCTAACCTTTCGGCTTGACATCTAAACGGGGAAAGAAAATAGAGGCCAACACATCGCTCAGTTTGGGTTCGGCGAGGGCTTGGGACTTGGAGGCGGTCTGGGGCTCTGCGAAGGTTTGGGGCTCGGCGAGGGTCTAAGGCTCGACGAGCCTGATCCTCCCTCTTTGCGAGTTCCATTCCGAGGCTCCAGCTCGTCATGAAAGCGGATCTGCGTCTCCCGAACGGCATTTCGGGCCTCTTGTCGAGGCGCAGCACCCGGACCAAGGGCGTCCAGCGGAACATCGCTAGACGGTGGCATAGGTGGTGGCTTCGATACCTCCGAAGTGGCAGATGTGCTCATAGGGGGCCCAATGACTCTCTCAGTGGCCACTCCGCCAGCACCGTTTCCGCTGGGGAACCACCTGGCTATGGTGGAAAAGGTCGAGCCATTGTTCGGGCCACCGAGGTCACCGCTAGTGCTCATGCTTGTTTCGGTGAGAACGCGCGAAAGCGTGCGTGGTGCGAGATATCCAATCTTGCCTAGGGGAATACTCAAGCCGTGGACAACCTAAGAAAAAGACGTTAGCATCTTTCCACATAATCGAGCTCAGGACGCCGGAGGGACTTACCACGCTGCACACTGCCAAGAACCAAACCACGATTTTCACCGTGGCGCCCAAATGTGCGACATCATCCCTCGGGTTTCCCTCTTCATCACTCAAGAACTTCTCAATAAACTCCAGGGTGATGAACAGATAAAACACTGCCGACACACCAATCGGCCCAAAAAAGCCAACAAAGAGAGCCTGGTGCGTCCCCGTAATCTGATGAATCCACCTATGCAGGCCAAAGATCCACGGGAGGCGCCTCACAAGCAGCACCAGCACCCCGAGGGGCACGAGCTTGTACAAAGGAATGATGGAGTTGTGGCGGAACTCGGTCCAGGGAATGTATGCCCCGTACCACAGGAAGATGGAGACGTTTAGCAGCATGTCGATTGTCGGCTGCAGCGAGTCGTCGAGAGTCTCGAGGCGGAACCAGTCGTCCCACGTAAACGCATTTCCAGCGATGAAGCAGGCCAGGACGTCGTCCGTGCCGATGAGGCCGCAGGTTCCCAGCACAAACAAGGCCAGCGAGATGGCGGACACGATGAAGCTTTCGCGATCGACGTAGTTGCGCTTGACGGCCCAGCGGAGCAGCTCCTTTGCTAGCAGCCCGACGACCGCACCGTATATGATGCTCAGGATGATGGTGTAGCCCCAGGTGTACGCAAACCAGAGGCCCATGGCCTCTCCAGCTCCGCCAGAGGTCGCGCCCGAGCCCACGAATTTGATCAGATACAGGGCAAAGAAGAGGAACGGATAGCCCAGTCCATCGTTGGCTCCGGATTCGGCCACAATCAGGTTCTGCAGCTCCTTGGGGATGTTGTGATCCGCAAACTTCCCCTTGACGATGACAGCAGACAGCACAGGGTCCGTAGGCGTGACGCAGGCCCCGACAGCCAGGGCGTGCAAGAAGCTGTGCGTCCCGGCAAAGGCGAAGACAAGGAGGCTGGTGGCCAGCCACATGCCGATCATGCCCGGGCCGAGCAGCAGCAGCAGCGACTTGTGCTCCCGCCAGAGGTACTTGCTCGGCAGCTGCACGCCCGCAATGACCAGCTGGACGCCGAGGACGAGGCGCGAGAAGTTGAGCGTGATGCCGGCCAGGCGGTCCTCGGTGCAGGCGACGTCGGTCACGCCGGAGCAGCCGGTGTATGCGTCCGGGCGGATGAAGTTTGCGCCATGGGGTCCGAAGGCAACGCCGATGAGGAGAGAGATGACTACAGCAGGGCAGCCATGTGGGTTAGCAATCAATTGTAGGAAGTCGGTCTGGGAAGACAGACAGGGAATTGTTTCGTCTGACGACCGAGACACTCCATGACAGATATATGCCTGCCCAGGGGGAATGCTTTCAGGGAGAGGGAGGGTGCAGGTGAGACTCACGGGCTTCGGATAAGTAGTAATTCTCCTTGAGCAGATACGACACCAGCCCAAACAGCGACACAAAGCCCCCCAGGAAAGACACCACGATGTTGAAGTCGGTCGATGCCAACGGAACGGCCCAGATATCGGCCATTTTCCTTTTCCCCCTTTTCCTTTTCTTTTTTTTTTTCTTCTAACTCCCTTCACAGAGGGGGTAATAGCAAATGTTAGCAACGCGAGTAGAGGCCAGTGACGACAATAGTAGTCGAGATCATTTGGGTTCGTTTTTCTGCAGAGGAGGCGTTGCTGCCTCTGGTGGGTTTCGGCTCGACTATCGGACGTCCAGAATCCGGGGGTGGCGGTGGGTATGCTGGTTCTATCAATCGATAATGTCGGGAAGAGAGCCGACTGATGTGTTATCAAGACGACGAGGCACGTTTGTGGTACGGCGGTAAAGGGTATGGGCAGAATATGGATGGAGGAGGAAGAGCCTCTGCCAAGGACCGCCTTTTCCCACTCAGTTCTCTGAATCGGTGATAAAATGGGAAAGAAAACAGAACCGGATAAGAATCGCCAAGACGTAAAGAATTTCTACGAAAGCCTTGGCAAGTGGCGTCTCTCGTTCAGAGTCAGACCGTACTGTAGTACACCAAAAAAAATCTCCACCAAAGAAAGGCGGTTTTGGGGGCCGGGCTGGACTAGGATCTTGAGTAAGAGCTTGGAGCAGCCAATCTGGTGTCATCGATGATATAATCTGATGGAGAAGTGTCTCGCTCAGCTATGACGATCATCGGGACCTTGAGCCGCCAGTTGACTCTTTGACACACGACACTCGATGTTTTTGACCGCCGTGTCTTATATTGATCCTTCATTCTTATAGCCTTCATTCCGTTCATCGGATTGGTCAGTACTACTAAAGGCTATGAAGGTACCTTAGGTACTAACTCTTTGCAGGCATTAAATACATGGGGAAAACTACCTTATGCACTAAGCCGAAGTATCCCAACGACCTAAGCAGCCAGATCCAAGATACCTCTACCTATCAACACACCCACCCTTCGACAGCTGGTATATAAGAAACACTGAGAAATGGAATTGCGTCCAACCCGTCCCGTTACCGTTATACTCATCAATGTGCATGCCCAACTCCGTGCTATACATACACTCTCCACAGCACCTTCGCATCTTCCTCGTCACCCACGTATCCCTCGAACAATAGGTAGTGTCTGATACGGGTCTGAAAAGAGCATCAGGTAAGAACTGACATGTCAAGACACGAGTACGCTTGACTCCTCGTCCTTTTCCGTCATAGAGAACCGCGTTGCCAAAGTTGGTGATTGTTCGGCACAATAGTCATACTCCGTTATCAAGCAAGATTGGCTCCTCTGACGGCTAGCCGATCTGCGGCAATGTTGCCAATGTTCGTGTCGTGGCCCTTTACCCACTGAAAGTATGTGTTGCCGCCCGCTTTCGTTCGCTCTTCTATCTTTGCGAGGACGGCCCGTATAATGTCCTGATTCTTCACGACCTCGCCGCTAGCCGTCAACCAGTTCTTCCGCTTCCAGCCGTCGGCCCATTGCGTTACACACTTGATCGAGTACTGACTATCGCTGTGGATGCGAACTGTCTGCTCAAGCGGCGCAATCTCCAAGGCGCGTTGCATGGCCAGAAGCTCCGCGCGTTGGTTGGTCTGCGGCTCGCCGGGCAGCCTCTCTGCGAGATTGCGAGGGTCATTTTCTCCAAACCAAACGCCCAGGCCGGCTCTCGCGCCGGCCTTTCCGTTGGCCAGACTGCTTCCATCCGTCCATATGTTGAGCACGTTTTCGCGCGGCCTTGTGTCGAGCTCTCGGGTCTTTGTTACGGCCACCTTCTCGATGGGAGTGAATCTCGTAGTGACCGGCTTTTCCTCCACCTCAAACTTCTCCACTAGAGGCTCTACCTTCTCCCCCAAGGCCTCGATCGCTTCCCGGTTGCCGTACTGTCGGATATATGCGACAGCTTCTGCGCGTGTATTGAAGCGCTTGTACTTGGGACCTTTGATCCCGGTGATGGCCTTGGAGGCTTCCGACCAGTCTGTGAAGATGCCGGTCGGGTTGCCGACCGCGACCGCGTAGAATTTCTCAGGCTCGTCAGCAACCGCCACCTTTTTCCCGGCTGCGAAGGCTTCGGCGTCTTCTCTCGAGAGGAAGGATTTGACTGCAGGACGGGGTAGACCACAAGGTTAGAGCTGCTATCTCAAGCGTTACAGAAGAAAAAAAAAGAAAAGTCTCTAGCAAATATCTACTCGGTAGTCACCCGCCGGGAGGAAACAATGTGGCCAACTTACAAACGGCACCCTTGAAGCCGGCTGTCTGGGCTTGACATTCCGAGTACGTCAAATACACGCCCGGAACAAAGCCCGCCTGTACGGCATAGTATTTCGGCATATTATCCGTCTTTCTCTTTTTCGAGAGGCTCGACGCCGTGGAGCTCGCAGCGGCGGGTCGCTTGTTGTTACCGCTCCCCATAATCTCGAGCGTTGTGAGCGTCGTCGTCGTCGTGGTGTTTTCGATTATAAAGGCAAAACGGGAAGTATACGAGGCAGAGGCCAGGGCATAATATTCTCGCGCCAGGCTCGGCGCTGCAGTGCGAGCACGGATAAGGCTCGATCGCAGCCCAGTCGCGACCTGCCGCAGCAGCACACTCTGGCGGTGTTGTCGGGCGCACTTGGTCGGGGCAAGGGCAAACTCGGGGCGGACCGCGCTTATGCCGTTGGCGACGATGTTCGCACAAGGCTGAGGGCGAAGGCGCATCAAACTTCACATCAATGACATGACGATGAGCCAGCGAGGAGCAGAGGGCCAGCCGGGGGGCTTCCTGAGCTGCGGTTGGTGGGCTTGGTTTCCCTTTTGTCTTTTCCGGCACACGACTTTGCGGAAACTGACGGAGGGGAGAACGAGAATTGCGAGGCGAGGAAGCGAAGAAGGGGGGGGGGGGGGGGGGGTTCTGCCCTTGGAGGAACAAGGCCGAGCAGCCGCGTGATTCGCGCAAACTTTAGGAGGGGCACCCTCAGCGTGCGCTGTCCGCTTTCAGTCTCCCGCCTGTGGAGACGCTGGGGGCGGTCGCATTTGCCGCCCATGGGCCCGGAAGCCAGGCGCTACAATCCCTGTGAGGCCTCGGTGGTCAGGGCAGCTTTGGGGCATCTCTGCCGCCTGGCTGTGCAGACATAAGGCACTGGACTTGTAGTCTGGAGGCCGTGCGTGCGTCGACATCACCACGAGGTGCCCTTGGCTGGACGATGAAGCTGGTGACGACCAGCAGCATCACACAAATATAAGCACTGGAGGCGACGTAACATAGGAAGCTGGTGATTGCAGCAGGCGCAGTAGTACCGAGGTGTCGCGGCGTGCAAGTGTCAGCATCAACACGAAGGCATCAGTCTGATTATAACAAGACTTCCTTGTCATATCAACATCAAGGCGGCATTGTCATTGTGCCAATAAGTCTCTCTTTGGTTCATGATCCATTCGAAGATGTAATATGCCACTGAACAACATCTTTGCCAATACCGAAACAAAACAATAATCCGTTCGCCGTGCCATGCCCTGCCAAAAGCCACAGGTTTTCCACAAACTAGTAATCCGATGCCTCGTAATTCGTACCAAGTCCCTCCAGCGCACAGAGGATTATCTAACCCCTCTCCCTTGTCCTGCAGCTCTCCTCTTGGTCGACGTCGTCGGCAGCATCGTAGCAATATACATATTCTCTGACACAATACTCGTACAAACAGCCGCAATCTGTCGCAGCTAAAACGCGTTATACTCGAGTCGAAACCATGCCACGCGGCTCGGGCGCTCATCTGCTCGGACAGATACATCATCCAGCACTGCTCTAGCCAAGATTGGCAGCAACAAGTCTCATATCGTCCTCGGAGGTGGTAATCCTAAACGTGAGTGGTTGGATCAACAGGGGGGAGGTCAGGTAAGCCGTCACTCTCCCACTCCCATGCCAGCAGGCTCCAGTTGAGCTCTCGTCGCCAGAAAAGACCCAATCCTCGTCCACCTCCATTAGGACGATCATCTGAGCTCAGGCCGCCTGATCGAGGCATATGCTTGCAGAATATTGCTTTTCCCATGCGCGAGTGGAGCACGCCCATGGAGCACGCCACACATGGCTCATGAGTAGTATAGAGCTCCAGTCCGTGGCAGAGGTATCCGTCTTTGTTTGGGTGCTCTTGCTTGAAACACTCCCTTTCCAGCTCAATCAAGGGTGCGTCCTGGAAGGCGTCGTACGCCAGGTTGGCGTGTTCCATTGGCTGTTCGGTAGCCGATCGCTCATAGCGGACAAGCTTCTGAGCCACCATACTGATAGCACGCAGGACGCAGTGCGACATAGGGTTATTGGCGAAGCTCATGCCGTCTTCGTGATGGTATCGGGCATCTCCAGCGAGCCCAACGAGCTCCGTGCCGGTCTCTCCTCGCTGGACAATGACGGCTCCCATGGCCTCGCCGATGCCTGCTTCCTTGGCTTGAAGGGCGACGCGATGGGCCAGCGCCATCCAGATGGCCGTGTCATACTTGATATCGTCGGTGCCGCGCGCCACCATGCCTGGGTGCGGCCCCAGAGGGTTGTTCTTGCGATAAACCGTAGGCCAAAACTGCGAAGACCACATGGCGGCCTGGACCTGGGATGTTGGAGCCAACAGAGGGACAGGAATCATACTAATGAAGGGTTCTTTTTCGATTCCTTCCACGCTGGACAGCAGCTCGACCAGTTCGTCTTTGGAAAAGTCTTTGGCTTCTCCCACAATGATATAGATCCAGGTTGATTTCGCAGTATGAATCTGCCGCCCCGTTGGGGTGTCGTTCATCAACTGCGTTTTGAGATGCGCAGGGAGATCCGATGGCTTCGCGCATCTGCGTAGGTGCGGTAAGGTATTAGCGTTACCGTCGGGACACATGTCGCGCAGGAGACTGAGAAGCGGTTAGTGTACAGTACACTGCAGGCAGAAAAGGGGAAAAGCCTACGTGATGACATCGTTGGCGGATTTCGTAGGGGCTCTGGTGATGTACGCCTGCACAATCGTGTGATCTTGGCGGACTTCTTGAGTGGTCTTCAAGGGGATGAGGACGCCTCGAGGCAAGTCCTGAGCTCGGAGGTCATCGATCAAGGGGTTCGGCGATGCACCTCTGAATTGACGGGGTTCTTTGACGTCAAGCTCCATCCCAGCGTCGCCGTTCCCACCATCGTAATAATCAACCTCGACAGCCATGGTGTTCGGTAGTGTCTGGTTTTGTGACCGATCAGACCGAAAACGCGTTTCTCTGAGTGAAAGGGTTCAAATAGAAAGCTGAGATCAGCTGGAGAAATCTCTCTTCGAACAAAAAGAAGGAAGAAGCTTCGAAACACCAAGTCAACAACTCTCCTATTTTGGCATCCCGGGTTGCTTCAGCAGTGGTATGACGAGTGAGGTAAATGACTGAAAAGCCTTGAGTGGCTGTTGATGCGATGGAAAAAGAAAGGAAAAGGGTTGCCTGAGTGCGTTGCTGGGGAATTTGTTTTGGCCAGCCGACGCGAAGAAAGTGGCTGACAGCCGATCGACAACGCGGTTGTTGCTTGCGAAAACTGACCGCTTTGATATCGACGGAGAAACAGACGGAAGGCGCTAGCAGATCTGCCACGAAAAGTTGGCTACTACTTTGGAAGAGTGAATCTCGTTTGCCTTCCTGAGTGGCGACGGTGTTCGTTTGGTTGCCAGGAGAAGGCGACCGTAGAGATAACGGGTAAAGAAAGGCCCAGGAGCTCCTACAGTCGGGGTAAGGTTGCCCTGATTGTGCCTTCAACTGCAAACTCTATAGGGCTACTGTCTAAGGCTGTAAAGTGAGAGTGTGAATTTAAACGAGCTTGCTTGCCGTCTGAGAATGCTTGTGGACGAGGGAAGTTCGCTTGTGACTTTGTTAGAATGATGCCGACTGACGAATTTCCTTTCTTTGATGAGTTTTGGGAGGGCGGAACTTGGAGGGGTGACTTGCATGATGGTACTGGGACAAAGTGCTACAGGGCTCGAGATGCAATCAGGTGTTATCAGAGGAGCGTTTGATGCAGCGTGTTTGGAGCTTGATGGGTGAAGTTGTTTGATATTCGATCCATTGAACATTTCAGGTGAGAAGCCGATAAAGATTGCAGATAGCAGGTAGGTAAGAGGTAGTTGAAGAAAAGTGGGGATTGGCGAGGTATGGAAGGCGCTGGTTGGCCACTAGATCGGCAGGTACAGAGGCTCCACATAAAATGTTCACTTGCATTTCAGACACAAAGTCACCAAAAGTTTTGCATGACTGAGAAGGTGAGAGACGATAAATACTGTATGCAACCAATGCTCCTAGCATCGAGGGGTAGAACCCATGTCTCGAGATACTACATTGCATACCTAGTATCAAACGAAGAAAATTGCCACGAGAAGAGGAAGAGAGGAAGTAAAGGAGAAAGATGTAGGTATTTGCCCACGTATTTGCTTGATAGGCTGCGACTGCCGGAGATGGCTCCTGCCAAACAATAAAGTTGCCTTACCTAAGGCAGTTTCATCCTCCATCACATCACATCGTCTTGACAAATAGAACGGATGGCAGATTCATCGTCTTACGGGCCGCCGCCACTTGCGTTTGCAGAGCATCTTCATCTTGGTCTTCTATTCACACTTGCTCACGCTGCTCCTCTCTGATTCGCTTGCCTATCCTTTTTGCTTCACATCAGCGCAGAGGATCGGCTGCAACTCCAGTAGCCGCACCTATGAATTCTAGCCTTTGTTCCTCCTCCAGCTCGACGACGCTTCTTACCAATATCCAACATCGGCCGACGCCGCCAGCGCTGCATGCCGCGCTTTTCGGAGCTCGCGTCCCAGGCATGTCAGCCTTGTACCGATCGCCTCGCTCGTCTGTGATCTCAACGCAGGAACGACTACTTGGACGGGGTCGCGGAGGTTGGGGCTACTACTAGCTGGTGTTGCCCCCACGCCTCGAGAAGGAGGAGGTTCTAACCTGGAGAGGCTGGCCCCCAGTTTGCATCTTGCCAATATGCGCTTGTCACAGAAATTTCTTATCCGCCTCCGTTTACATTCACGGATCACGGATGCTCTTGATCGCTGCCGCTCCTAAGCCTGGAGAAAGTTCGCGGGGTATTATGATGGGGGAAAAGTGAGGATATGGGCATCTCGGTACAAAGCAGGTATGTACTTGTACATGCATATACGACTTTCTTTCAACCAGCCCGGCTGCCTTCTGAACTAGGCGGCAAAGGTAGGTTATCTAGTGTAGACACCGATTGAGAGTGGAAGCCTCAAGTCAGCGTCAGCTTGAGGAAAAAAGAAGAGCCAGCTGATGCAACGTGTACTAGTAGTAGCGGTTCATGGTTCAGCGAGCCCACCGAGATCGTTTGGCTTGAAGATCAGGGTCTTGGGCTCAATTTCCATTACGCGGCGCATCTGGCGCTTGGTCCGGATTTCACGAGCCAATTCAGTTGCTCACCCCTAGCACCAAATGCTCCCGGACGTTCCAAGCCCTCGAAGTCCGAAAGGCACTTCATGCACTAAGATCACTTGTTACAGCTCATTATTCCAGCTCGTCAGCCATTCCATTTGAGGAACTCTGTGAAGCTTCCTCTTCCTCTGAACAAGGATCATCCATAGCACCACCCGGACCGGAAACCCCGAGCTGCGGTAGCTTGGCATCCAATATCTTGCCGAAAGGTGCGATACTGTGCATGGCATACGAAGTACCTTAGTCCGAGCATGAGAGATACCGGTACGGGTATGCTTCGAAGGTGACATCGAAGAGCATCGCTCCTGGCTGTCAAGCCGTGTGTATTGAGTGATGCCATTGGTTGACAGGCTGAGCCACGGTAGCCGCCGACACCGAGATGAGCCCCCGGCGTGAGGCTCGCCTTTGACATACGATTGAGCACGAGACTTTGACCTGCCTCAGATTGGACAAACCCTGGAAACACGGCGATACTCCGCGTGAGCCGCCTGCGTTGATGATGAGGATCGCAACCGCCAGATCCTGCTGGATTGATCGACGCAACGTACTATGTCTTGTACACGCACGAACACGAGCACAATTCATTACCGCATTTGGCTCTTTTTCTCTCGCGGGCGCCCTTCGTCAGCGTGGCACATGATTGCAATATGCACTGTTGAGAGCAGTATGGCGTAGCGATCGATCCAAAAAAGCACGGCAGCACAGCATGGGGGCTGGAATGGCTACCATTTCCCGCCTGACACGACAGCGCAGCGGTGCTGTCATATCTCGCTGCCGTCAAGATGCCCACGTTGTCTCATGACTGGCAGAGGCAGATCCCTTTCGCATCGCATTGCTATTGGACAAGGAGCTAAAGGGGGCTGCCACCGGATGCTGAGGCAGACAGGCAGCTACGAAAGGAGGCCTGCCAAGCAATGGTCAGATATGCGATATGCCTCTCCTTGGTCCGTCGTCCTGGAAAGCAGCGACAATGTCTTGGGTACTGCCATGGCGTGAAACCACCCGACATACAGCTGGTGATGAATGAGGTGGAAAGGGGGGTGCGCAAGTCAAGCATACGCAGCCATGTCTCTGACCTGCCTCCCTTCGTCTGCGCTGTTCACCATGTTTGTGACGGCCTGTGCTACTACGGGGGTCTCACGTTAATCTCAACGACCTAGGTTTGTTGAGGCCGCTTCATGTCTCAGCTGCGGCTTGGCCAGTACGAGTGATACGGCTCAGGCTCAGGCGCAGCCACGTACTCGTATGTGCTCGACATTACGAAGACACTGGATCCATGCATATCGGGGTGAGATGCGAGAGTGCACGCTACCGATTCAATAGCACCTTGCGCAGCGCTGCAGCGTGAAGCCCCTGTAAACGCCAGCCGCTTCACCACGACAAGCCCTAAGACGTCAAGGCATGTTGGTCATGGCACCAACCTGTTAGTTGCATGGGCGGCGTTGCGGTACTTTTATGGAGCAGTGCCCCGTTGATGGGCATGATGTTGCTCGCAGCAGCTTTGCTGGGTCCCTTGTCTTGTATGACGTCGGCCGGCTGCCAGCGATGCCGCGCTGCAAGTCTGTCGCAAAGCAGGCTTCCTGTTCCTTCTCAATACCCTTTCTTACGCTTGCAGGACGGACGAGACGGCTAGCTACAGAACGCAAAGGGAGGCGAAGCAACCATCAATGGCCGGAGAGGGTTGAGCATCGGCAAGCGAGGTTGAGCAAGGCTGTCGCGGCCCTTTTTGGCACAACTGACATGGAGGACAAGAATAGGTTGCATCCAACTCCATCATGAACTCGAGCTTTGTGACAAGCGATAATTAGTTGTTATCAGATTTCCGTTTCGGCAGCATGCAGGCGAGTTCAACGGATCACTGCAGAGCTTCCCAGTGATATTACGCGAAGAGGAAGGGTAATGGCAAGCCTGCCAATCACGGTGGCCGCATTGCATCAGAGCGCCCTGTGTGCTGCAAGCTGGGCACTGATCCGTGATGTCCGATGCGTCTCCTCCGTGCAAAAGTACGTGAAGAGAGACGGTCCGCTATCGGCGGGTCGGAGAGAGGAGGGGCCTGTGTCGAGGAAGAACATCGACACAGTTGTAAGACATGGGTGTCGCCGTTCCAAATGCTTCACAGGTACGAGTACGAGATCACTTAGGCTTTAGACCAGGTACCTAACAATGATACTACTATGTAGTACTTTCTCGTCAACCGCGAAGCATGCCAGAGCAATAGCTGACGCTCGGGTTATGCCCTTCGTGGTGGACAAAGGAGCACGGTGAGATTGTGGCCAAGAGCCTGCCCCTGTGCCTGTGGCGGCCGAGGGGCTGCCGTGGATTTGCTAATAGAAGATGAGCCTGGGCTGGGAGGATCGAGAACGAAACTACAGTACATACATCGGGACCCGTGGGGGACGCCGATGGCGATTGGTCCAAAGTATTTCAAACCAGTTAGACGAGGGTCGGACAGGGAAATTAGCACGTGGGAAGCACAGAGGTGGCCGTGAGCTGGTGAGTTGGGACGAGATACGCACACCCTCCCAGAGGCGCTCTTGGACACCCTCTCGGTGATCCATTGGGACGGCACAGTTCCTTGGAGATGCCCCTTTGGGGAAGAACTCTGCGTTTGCCGCTGTCGTCTGCTGCTGAGCAATGGATTGGGAGGGGAGTCGAGAAGTGGCGAAGTTGAGGAGGAGAGTGCTGGAGAGGG